CCTCTAATATTTTGTGCTTTATTAAATATGATTAATTCTGGTGAGTAGATCTATTTTGATCTCTTGCTGCTTTGTCATCATTGTTTTAAAAGTCTATACCAGTGTTTCTCAAACTTGGCAACTTTAAGGTGTGTGGACCTGGGGAATTCTGGGAGTTGAAGTCCACACATCTTAAAGTTGCCAAGTTTGAGAAACACTGGTATAGACTAAAAATTATGCTGGAGAATATTGGGAAAGGAAGTCTGGTATACCTGGAGGGCATCTATTTAGGAGGGCTGTTTTAGATTGTACTGTGAATACCTCTTGAAGATTTTTTTTAAGTGAAGGGCAGTATGCAAACACCTCCAAATAAATATATATATTTATCTGGGACTAATCCCCAGTAGACTCTATTGGACTTCTAAGTGAACTTGCTTAGAGCTGAGCTGCAAGTCAAAACTCCACTTTTGCAAAGATCCATGATACTGCCTGAAACAAAATTCTGGATAATGTTCTTGTTACCCACAAGTATGAATACACTATAATTTTTTTCCACCTGCATGCTGAGAATCCTCCTTAGACCTAGCCTATTTACTCATCTGACTACGTGCAGGAATGCAACACAAGTTTTCCTCCCATGGGGGTAAGAACATTCCCTTCCTTTGTTATTGTATTTTTTTCAAAGAAATGTAGGAGTGGAGAGAAAATATCTGCGTGTGTGTGTAAACCAATACCTCTTATTGATATTTAACATATTTTTCATGAGGTCTAATAAACACAATAAATAAAAATAAGTTGCATGTATGCCATTTGCAGGGCAACATGTTAGACCTAAGTCCAATCTACTGTATGTTAATGTTCTTGAAAGATAATAAATTCTGAGCATGGAATATGCAAATACTATGTTGTATACTTTCTTTGCATCCCTTTGACCCAACATGACTTATTAAACCATCAAGATGTACTTTCTTAATCAAGCCACTCTTCTGCTATGTTTAGTTCATTGAGACCTTCCTGTGACACACCATCCCCCAAAAGTTCCTAAAGTCCAAACTAAAGAATGTGTCAAAATCAATTTTTAATCCTTTGCCAGGACATTCTGGTTGGCACTTCCTTGTGGCTGGCTTCCACAGTGCATCTGGAACGTTAGAAGGATGAAAAGATACATGACAATGAACACAGTGCTATGTTGCTATCAGGACTGGCAAATACTGATTAGTATTCTGAGTCTGACTGGGTTCCAGATCCATGGTGAAGAGTATAGTTGGGCAGTGTAAAAATCAGATGTAAGAGCTTGGGGTAGGAGGGAAATTTGTAGTTTAGAGAGTTACTCAGCATGGAAGTAGGAGTAAATAGATTGAGAATTAATATCTATACCCACTTCCTCAACAATAACTCTAAGTCTGTAAAATTGTATGGAGATTTAATTATTTTCTTCTGTGGCATTTCCAAAGTGCCCTTTTATCAGTCATCAACTTTTTGGTGTTTTTGTTACATGTTACCAGAGCATAACCAACAGAATTGCTATTTAAAATTAAAATATAGAAGAAAGCATGAATTTACAGTTCAATAATATACTTACCATCCAATTTCAGAAGGGTGGACTTTCCTTAAGCATTTTTGTTCCATGTTAAACATTAAAACCATAATAGCCTAAATGATCAACTTAAACATGTGTGTCTTTAACTCTCAACCCACAATTTAAAAATTACCTAACCAATTAATTAGTCATTGATTTGGTTGATTTATCTTTTGGTTAAAAAGAGAGGGTTACAACTCATTTTTATTCTGGTAGATCATCATCTTCACCAGCTTGAAAACAGCTTTACAGCAAAGTAGAAAGAAGTGTACTGAAACATCCTGGTGTAATGGAGTCTGCCTGTCCTGGCTGGATAATTCTTTAATTCTGTGTGCAGAATTCTTTCCCTCTGGGCTTTGCTTTTGTAACCTTTCAAAACAAAGAGCTGTGTAGATCAACTGTTGAGGAGTATTGGGAGACCTGGATTTATACTCTGTTTCCTCATTCCCCACCAGAAAGCATATAAATTAAACAACTGGAAAGCACATTGAATGACATGACATGACGCACAAACTCTTGTATTTGGATCTGCATTTTTAAAAAATTTCTGCTTATACTTCTCTTTTGTCTTGTTCCAAAGGCCTCAAAGGAAACATTTTAAATGTTCTCAGAACTTCAGATTCTTGTAATTAAAAGAAACTGTAATTGCCATCCTCCATGCTTTATCATAGATAGATCACAGATTTACTTTTAAAAAAACATTAATAGGTAAGAAATTATGTCTATGTATTTGTATTTGTATTGTGTGTGTGTATGCATATGCAGATAGATAGATAGATAGATAGATAGATAGATAGATAGATAGATAGATAGATAGATAGATAGATAGATAG